CACCTGCTACCCGATTGTCGAACCAAACGGTTAGTCGATGGTATCACCGGCTTATCTGCATCTGCTGCTACCGCTTTCTCCGAACAGGCTAGTGTCAAGGTTGTTCTTTTAGAAAGTAATGAATTTACTCTTCTACTTTCAGAATTTTCTGAAATCACCAAACCTCCTGGACTTCCAAGAGTTGTCAAGCACAACACTCTCCATTACGTCAAGACTACAGATGGTCCTACTTCCTCTTGTCGGCCGCGCCGTCTCGCCCCGCAGAAATTGGTTTCTACCAAAAAGGAATTTGAGGATATGGTGCGCGCTGGTATTGCAAGACCATCTGACAGTCCATGGTCATCTCCGCTCCATATGACATTAAAAAAGGATAAAACTTGCCGCGCCTTGAACGCCAGGACTATCCCGGATCGTTATCCAGTGAGGCATATTCACAACTTTGCCAATAGTCTTAGTGGAGCAACTATCTTCTGCACGCTTGATCTGGTAAAAGCTTACCATCAAATTCCTGTTGCAGAAGAGGATATTGTCAAAACTGCAATCTCCACCCCGTTTGGCCTCTTCGAATTTCCATACATGAGTATTGGATTAAGAAATGCTGGACAAATCTTCCAACGCTTAATCGATGGAGTCACGTGAGGTCTTGATTTCTGTTTTCCTTACGTTGACGACGTTCTCGTTTTTTCTCTAAATGAGACCAGCTACAAGGAACATCTCCGCATCCTTTTCAATCGTTTTAAGGAATATGAAGTTATCATAAATGACTTTAAGTGTACCTTTGGTGCAAAAATGGTAAGGTTCCTTGGCTATATTGTCAACGCAGAAGGCACGCGTCTACCGCAAACTCGCGTATATGAAAATGTACAACATTTTAGACACATTTTGGAGGTCCTACACTGACCATAAGCCACTGTTATATGCTTTCGTACAACGCCGAGAGAAACTTCCTCCCCCCAACTGAACCAATTGTCGTTTATTACTCAATTCACGACTGACACACATTGTCGCTGATACAATGTCTCGTATTAATGCTGTGACTTTGGAACAAGATTACGAAGCTCTTGCCAAGGCACAGCAAACAGATGATGAACAGGCGAACATTTGTAAAACCTCGTCTCTGCAACTTGAGCTCATTCCAATTCCAGGAACCAGTATCACATTATTATGTGGCGCTGGCAGATCAAGACCTTATCAAACGCCACAGTTCCGTCGATCTGCATTTGACCGCTGCCATCAACTTAGCCATTCCGGGGCACAAGCTTCCGTGCGTCTGATGTCAGAACGCTATGTCTGGCCAAATATAAACAAAGATTGTCGCGAATGGACACGTTACTGCATACAGTGCCAAAGAAACAAAATTTCAAGAGATTAAATCACCCATCGGACAGTTTGAACTCCCATCTAGTAGATTTCGCCATATTCACATTGATATCATTGGACCCTTACCATTCTCCAACGGATTTACGTATTGTTAAACCGCTATCGACCATTTCACATGGTGGGCAGAGGCTTGGCCAATGGTTTCAATGATCAAATTAGTATCTGGATGGGTAGCTCGTTTTGGTGTACCCAGCTCAATCACCACCGACCAGGGGCGTCAATTTGAATCCTCCTTGTTTCAGCGACTGATAAACTTCTGTGAAACACTTCGCCTCCCCGGCGAGTTTTTGACACCTGTGTCAGATTTTAGCAGTTCTTCAGAAGTATTTGATATGATTAATCAATTACGAAAAGTATTATGTAAAAGTAAATGGAGATTTATTTATTTTATTTATTTATTAAGTTACATGCTGACTTACAGACTAATACATCCAACACACCAGCAAGTTAAACATAGCAATAAAAAGAAAATTAAAAAAAAAACAATGTCAGTTTAGTTAATTTTCAATTACATTTAAAAGATGTCAATATCATAATAATAACAAAATTATATAATAGTACGCATGTCATGAAAATAATAAACTAAAACAAATGTCATATAAATTAAAATAATTTGTCAAGAAAAAAATAATAATAACAGTCACAGATAATCAATTAATAATCAATTACACAGTCAATATTGGTTAAGAAATGTCGAGCACTTATAGCTAATCGAGTAATACCATCAAAAAATACATCACTTTTTTCATGTTGAGCAAGGATGTCACCAATGAGATGCAGTGCACGTATAGTGGGTGCCTGCGCAGCGTATACGGTACGCGTGCGGGGCGTGGATAACAGCCGCGGACGCCGTCGCGGCGCCACTAAACCCATAATGCTATTAGAGATGCGTACAGGCACAAAAAAACTGAATTTCTCTAATATGTGAGGACAGTCAACTTTGTTATAAAGTACAGAAAGGTAATGCAGAACTAGGAGTAATTTTCGCCGTAGCGCAAGGGTGTCAATGCCCACCATACCCGATACAAATAGCGAAGGATATAGAAAAGGGCATCGGCAACTCATGTGTTTCTTCGTGGTGATGCACTTCGCAAATCGCTGCAGCTTCCATACTAAGTTCCCCATCGCATTCTACAACAACAGGAGAAAACGACCACACTAGATCTGGGTGGAAGACAGGACACCGTAAGCTTAGACAGAGTCAAACTGCTTACGTTGAGGCTGACCCTATCAGGAACGACGCTTGTTTGCAAACCACTGTACAGTTCCTCCAGCTCTTTTTCTTCCAGCTCCGTCTTAAGCTCAGCTCGACAACAAACTCAATTTTTCTTGCTTTTGAGTTGGCAAAGATTTTAATTAAATCATTTATATTTATATCAATTTTGGATTCTATACTTATAATGGCTAAATTTGTCTGTCTTGGGTCATGGTCACCGAAGATAATGTTTTATTAATTTATTTTGAAAATGATCGTTCACCTTCAGCTACTATACCAGGCAGTGTTAAATATGTAGAGATGTTGATATATTAGGAAATGAAGAGATTAAATTATTAAAATATATATACTTTAAAATATCAGTGGAAGTACTTATTGATGCATAAGTTAAAACATTGGCAACAATTCTAATTCATTATATAAATCCTCCCCGTCAATATCAAATCGATTTTAAAATGTTAGTATTCCTTGGAGCCGAGAACATTGAGATTTTTTCATACATCTCCAATTAACTCCAGCATTCAATGTTTTGGAAGAGAGAAAAACTGAATGAGGAAGTATTTAAAAAAAAAACGTTCGAAACTTAGATATCAATACAAATACGAAAAAGTACAAATAGAATAGGAGTTTTTATTGAGTTGTAAAACTAATTTACTTTTAAACTTGAAAGAAAACCGGCAAGGTTGTCATGGAGTCATCAAGAACGTACCGTAGCGACATCTAGTTTGATTTCTTTAAATGATTTTTTTAAATACATTATAATTTAAATATAATTAAAAATATATTTATTGTAACAAAACGTTTTATAAGATTATTGTTTACCATAATAGCCGCAGTAGTTAAAAAATTGAACCATATGCAGTCTCACTTGACGATTATGTTATTGTCAAATAGCCTCTCTACTTAATATTTCGCTCAGCTCGCTTTACGGCTGGAAGTGCTCTGTCCTGTTATACAGTACTACATCCTTGGTAGAAATACAGTATTGAAGTTTTAATTTCTGCTGGAATTAAGTTTGGAAAGCCTTTATAGTTAAACATTCTTTATATTTTATTCGATTGATTATATTATAAGCGATCGAATATCGAACAAAAATGACGAAATATTTAAACAGCTTTTTCATTCATAGATATATAAAAACATCGTTTTATCAATATTTAAATAAGTGTTTATTGAGCACGATTATGATTTTACGTGACAGGTAAAGTGGAACGTAATGCACTACATAATTTTATACAATTTACATAATTTTCTTCTGTAGGGTAAATATTAATATAAATTATGGTAATTTTGTAATTGGACTCAATTTGAACTTACGCGAATAAAGCATGTGAAAATAGGCGATTAACTTTACCACTACTAGTGATGATTACTTATCCATTTTTTTAAAACACGTAAAGCAAACGCTATTAAATCACCAAATCACTGATATCAAAACTGGTTATATCCACAACGCCATTAAGTTAAAGCGAATTTTACTCTTATGCAAACGATATAAAGTTCAATTTTGGGTTGGTTACTTGATCACTCCGATTACTGAACTACTCGCAACGTACAATCATATACCGATTTCATTCATTATTCATTCAGACATGACAGGTTGTATTGTTATCGATCCATATTATTTAAATAATCTACATTACACGTTAAAATCTATACGGTTATTAAAATTGCATTACATGACCGTCAATGTAAGGCGTTGATCTCTTACAGATGTCTACTAATCGTTGCGAACCGTTGTGGAAATTCGATAGTTATTGTATCACTGAATCAGGCAAATCGCTAGTTGAATAACAGTCTAACGCGAATAACGTCCATTGCTAACCACTATTTTTAAGAAAGAAGGGATCAAGGGCGTAACTGTTTTTGGAATGTTGCGTATTTTCAGTTTGAAGTGTCTGAAGGGGCCTCTTATTTGTAAAGGCTATTTATATAGTTTATTTATGCCACTGGATAAGGATAGCGCAAGACTGATCGTTGTGAAGATCTATGGGGAAGGCCTATGTTCAGCAGTCGTGCGGCTGTTGATGAAAGTTTATAATTTCAAAAACAAATGACTTTTGTTGATATAACCCTGATATAAATTATATTACATTCATCAGCCTATGGCTAGAGTTCATATGCGTCAAATGTGACTCTTTCCTGAGATGAGTCAGTAAAAAATCTGTGCAGTTACAGTTAACAGTGTGACCGTTTGTACATCGTTCGTAGACTATACAAGACTATCGTTCAGACGATTGACGATCAGCAAGGTTACCGTGGTCGAGCTGGGTTGACAATGTGTGGACCAACTTTAAGCTGTATAAGTGAAGGTCTTATGCCTTCATTTTTTTTGTAAAACTAACAGTGTTATGTGAGTATTATTGTTCTGTGGTCATGTGTCATCTTAAAAAATTCAATGTTCATACATTCGGCTGTCATAGAAAGCATAAATTACTTTTGCACTTAAATTCTGTTGTATAGAAAAAAAAATGGCCTTACCAGTGGATTTAGAACTCAAAAAAGCTTTTGTAGAATTACAAGCGAAAATGATAGCTACCAGTAAAACTATTCAAGTAATCGATTCTCAAATAAACGTCATGAAGAGAGTTTTGCAACATGTGGATGCAACTCAACGTGAGATCAGTACGTTACCACCTGGAACAAAAACTTATGAATCTATTGGGAGAATGTTCTTGTTCACTGATTTGGAAGAGGTAAAGACTAATCTTAAAAGTCGTGAGGCACAATTAACTGCAAGATCTGCCGAATTTGAGAGCAATAAAAAGTACTTAGAAAAAAATTTGAAAGAGAGCCAAGATAATATCAGAGAAATGGTCCAACAACGAAAAGAACAAAGTGACACTAAAACAAATTGAATCAGCTGAATGTTTTTAAGATCAAACACATTGACTAACTATTTATGAATGATTAAGAAATCTTAATGAATAAATATGAAGATAAATGTACACATCTGCTAGTACTAAACTCATTACCTTATTGCAGTAGATGCTTATTCAAGATCAACCAGCATTTTTTCATATGGCTTATACTATAAACATGGTTTTCTAATAAATGAATTAATTGACTGATTATTTTATTCAGTTTGATTTTGCTTCCCTTTTATTTGAAATATTGAAAACTTGTAAAATATAAGCCATCCAAATTATTCTACAACATTGTACCCTACAGTGGTGAATAATTGCAGGTTGTCGAGTGTTTTATGAATTAAAGTTGATTGCATTAATGCTTATAAAGAATGACCTTTTAAATTACTATACTTTAGATGATAACGCATTATTTCTATTTTCTTTAGATGTTTGTCACTACTTGTCTCATACTGTCATTTATGGGATTAAGTGTTTAATTTTGAATTATTTATTTTTGGAACATTATTTTTGAATAGGGTAGTAAGTAGTGTTACATAGTATAAATATACTTAGTTCCTGTGGATATATTAGACAATGAAGTAAATCACTAAATTCTGATGGCTGATTTTTAAGTATTTTTATTTATTAACAACATTTACATCAATCATTACAGCTTATAGCCAATGTCTTCTAGTAAAATTTTTTCGTAACTTACTTTTCTGTATTTATAACATTGTTTTTAAATATCTTTATATGAACAGACAAATATTGCGGTTTTCTTTTTATAAATATAAAAAAGCATTGTCAAAGTAAGTTAGGTACGAAATTGTCAATTTTATTATATATCATATGAATGACGGATAAGCGCGAATGAACAGTTCCTCCTTTAACAGGTTCGTGCGTGCGAACAGAACCATTGTTGATAATAAGCCGAGCATTGATATTAACAACTTTATAATAGTTGATGATTTGACGCCCACCACGGCGGCGTCATTAGGAAAGTCGTCGACGGCTTAATAACTTCTGTAGGAAGATGTATGTTTGCCCAGTCCTCTGATTGCTATTCTGTTTCATAGAAGCGGATTTTTTTCTTAGTTCTAAATTTTTTTGGTACCTAAAGTGTCATCAAAATATCATCCATGGGTCTCCAACCGGCACATGGTCACCAGTTTGACCTGTATGTGTGATTATCTCGGGGTAGGCTAAACCGATTTTGATGCGGTTTTAAGCATAGTATTTATCAGACTTAGAAGGTTTTAGGTATATTAGCAGACTATAAAAACGTATGTTCGCACTTTAACGCGTGTCGTATTTTTGACCGAGATGATCTCGCATTTCACTGAACAGATTTTGATGTGGTTTTCAGATAAGTATTTTTATTATATAAAAAATATCATTATCACTAAACATAATGATAGAAAAAACTTAACATAAAATAAAAAGAACAGACTATAAACTTAAAAAATTTGAAAAATAATACTTATCCAAAAGCGCCTTATACAAGAAAATAATTTGAAGTCGGTTACCTAAACCGTCCACCCGACTTTACTTTTTAAATTTGAAGTCGTTTTTTGCTTTTATCTTAAGTAATATTAATTATAATTTTCAAGAATTTGAATAAATACTGCAGACCTCTTAAAATAGTTAAGATTTCTCGTGTCCGTTCCCGTCATCTGCGCCGCTCCTAATGTGTATTGTGTACTAAAGAGCTCTTTGGTTGAACAAAGATAATCGAGTCTTATCGAGTACCTAAATACACATTTATTTTGATAATTCAAAGTATAAATCAAGGATTAATTTATTTTGAAAATCTTTATTTTCATTTTTACACGAGAAGAATTGTTTTCAATGTCCGTTATATATATGAATTCTTAATACTATGTCCTTGAATTTTAATATTAAATTGAAATTAAATCTTATCTAACAAATAATAATAATCATTATAATGCTAATAAAACATTGATTCTAATCGAAAATAGTGAAATATTTACACAACAGTCTAAATTAAGTAGAATAACATAAAATTTAAAGTATTTATTAAATAACAAATTCATATGATAATAAGTAGAAAATGTGTCCAGAAAATTAAAGCTAACAGCTTACAAGCGTCGTTCATCAAAGATAAATAATGATTTTCAAATAATAATATTGAATCTATACTTAAATCATATTGCAAATATTGTCTCTACTATCAGAAATGTTATTATTTTTTGAGTATAAAAAACATAACTAACGTAAAGTAATTAGGTTACTTACAACAAAATAATTGCAATTTTAGGTGTTATTTGTTCGTTTAATATGACTACTAATAACAAAATTGACAAAATAAAGTATAGAGTGAAAGTAAGATCTAATGAGAGCAGTCTCTTATTTAATTGTAATGTATAGAACAGAAAAGCTTAAAGTTACTTAAGATTGATAAATTTATTACTTAACAATCAACTGTGATATAACATAAATAAGAAATATCCATAAAATATTCTTAAAAAATTCTATGTCAAAACTACAAACAACATAAATTACAATTTCCTATAACAATTGTCACATTTATGATTATATTAAGGGTTCACATTGTAAAGTTAAACTAACATATTTACAGCCATGAAGGCCTGTTAATAGAATCGTAAGGTTGTCTTACACCGAGACTAGCAGGGTAACCTGGTGGGTAAAGACCCATGATCTGAGCGCCAGTTTGTCGAAGTAATTCTTCCTGGTGACGTTGAAGATACTGCTGGTAAAGCGGCGATGATGTGTCAGCTCCGACGAATGGATATCCTGTTCGAGCTTGTGAATGTCCAATAAAAGGGAAAGAACCACTATGCGCGGAATTTTGGTGAGCCGGTTTAACTAATTTCTCAGCGTTAGACTCTGCATTATTCCTTTGTTGATGGGCAACAGCGGCGGCCATATAATTTGCTGCCATTAATTGGTTGGCTGCTGAGCTATTTCGAAAATCTTCAATAGTGAACCCAGCATTGTCACTGTATAATCCTCCACCGAGTGCAATATTAGTGGTTGTTCCAAAATTGAATGCACTTCCGGGTATAATACTAGTTTTAACTGATGATAAAACATCTGTACATGGTGAAGAGTGATAGCTCTGTGAACTCATGTGTGTTTTAGTATCTGTTGTTCTTTTTCTTTTAGTCTTTGTTTTAGAATCACCTTGGGTAGTAACATTATTAGAAGCTTTATTATAAGAACTACTTTCTTTATTGATTGAAATAGATGGTTGAGAATATATATTGACAGATGTGGTTGGATGTATATCGGAAGATATGCTTTTATTGAAGATTTGTGCCATTTGGAAGGTTTTGTCGTGATATAACGAGGAGGTAGCTCCTGCAAAGCTGGATAAGTATCTTTCATCGTTTGCGTATCTATCTAACATTTGTGGAATTTTCGGCAAGTTCCTTAAACTTTCTAGAGGTATTGCTGAGTGAGCACTGTAAGGTGTTTTATAGGGCAACGATCCAACCAAAGGGTGGTTTTGAACAAGCTTTTCTGGTTTTTGCGATTTAGCATGAGTATCAATACTTTTACTTATCATTTCGTGTTCAGTACTTGAAGAAGCAATGGACATATGATCATTTTTGAGGAGACCCCTGGGATTAGGTATCCTCAATTCAGCAGGAAGATTTTGTAAGTCTGTGGACCTTTGAATACTTGCTCTTGGAGCATTGTAGTTGTTATATGATTGTTGTATATTTTTGTTGTAATTAATCGCATTGGTGTTTGATGTTACAATATCTGGTTTTATCTTGTCCACATTATTTGAACTGTAATTTGTGGGATAGTCAGACGGCAAAAGATCTTTTCGCAGTTGATTCGTCATTTTCCAGTTGCCATAATCCAGTGCAGCTGGGGATGAAGTTGTATTACATGCATAATGAAGTTTTTTGTTAGCCAGTTCAATATCATTTAATGAAAAATTGCTTATTGTTTGCCCACTGTTAATGATATCATATTGAGTGTGATGAGCATGAGCTATATTTTGATTTGTATTGATTTCATTATGAGCACGATCTTGTGAATGAGCTGGAGGAATATTGTTGGGATTAATAAGTGTTTTTGTAGCCGATTTTTGCATTTGCTGATTGTTTATACCTAAATTAATCGCAATAGCCTCCACTTCGAATCCTTTTGGATGAGAATTTAAGTTCGCTTTTGTGACATCTCTAGCTATAGTATAATTAACTTCATGCGTTTCGCTACTATTTCTTCTGTCGAGTTCAGAGTTCATGTATCCCATATTTACCATATCAATATTGTCTTTTTTAGTAACACTAGTTGATTTATTCGTATCTACACCCGAAATGTCTTTTTTAACTTCATGAGTTGGTTCATTGTCAAAAGTTATAGAGTCCCTATTTTCAGTTGAACGTCTATCCATGTAATTGATGGAACTCTTTTCACGTAAGTTGTTTAATTTTGCGATTTCAGATTTTTCACTTAATGCTAATGCTATGTCGTCAACAGATTGTGTAGGTAATGATGACGATATTGTGTGATGAGTTTGAGTTACCTTTTGGAAATCATTTTTATTTTGTGATAAAGCTTCTTTAACATCCATTATTTTTTTGGGTGGTGTTGTAGACACTTCAGGTTCATTATAAGTACGTTTTTTAACAGGAAATAAAGAATTTTTTGATTCCTGTATTATTGGTGTTGTAGTGGGTTGAGTAGTTATTTGGTTTTCTGTTGTGTGAGTAGCATGTTGTTGTTGAGAATAATTTTGCTGTGGTTGTGAAAATGAAGAGTGAGCTGGGGAGAAAGGACCACTATATTGACTATGTTGATACGAGTCGGGTCCCAAAGATGTATAATCTTCATGAACTCTAGCAGGTTTATTAACAACGGGTACTTTTGATGTATCATAATATGGTGGTGGATTTTGAGTATATGTTGGCAACGGACTTTTGTTGTGATCTACAAAGTAATTCGGCGTGGTCGAGCCCAAGACATTATTCGAAGCATAGACATGCTGTTGAGAATAAGGGGAATATGGAGATTGTGGCGCTTCTCGCGGACTACAACTTTTTTCTGGACTACTTTTTACCGATGTGGTGTCTTGATAAAACCCTGCTCTCACAGTACCATTTATAATAGGATAGGTTATCTTTTGGAAATCATCTGTTTTTGGTGATGCAGGAGACCGAAGCAAAGGCGATGTATGAGACATTTGATGCCTAGGTGAATCAAGATCTTGACTGAAAGAAGATCGTTCAGAAACAGAACTTCCAGTACTCGTTCTTCGTTGTCGCGGAGTAACTGACACATTAGGAAGTGGACTATCGCCTCCTTCGGGATTGGGAGTATCAGGATGAGTCGGAGAATCATACTTAACAGTATTCTTTGGACTAACTGGTTTGATTTCATTGTTAACATTATCTGTTGTTTTGTCTTCTGAATCTGGTTCATCAACTTTCTTTTTCACTGTCGATATAGTAGAGGTACTTTTGGGTGTGCCAAAAGCTTTGAACCAAGCACTTAGGTTAGGCGTAGCTTTCTCCTGATTTGGTTTTACACTAGTTGGAAGATCAGTTTCCACTTCAGCGTCTTTCTTATTTGGTTGTACAATTACAGCTTCTTCATTCTTTTCAATTGGTGTTTCTTCTTTTTTGACGTCTTCTTTTGGTTCTTCTGACGACGTTGTTTGAATCTTTGGAGTTTCAGTTACAGGTTTTGTTTCATCATTCGCAAAATTATGATCATTACCGAGAGTAAATTCTACAGTTGGTAAAACAGAACCAAGGCTCAGTTTAGGGCTAGATTCTTCAACCTTGTTAGGATCTCTTAATTTATTTAATGGTCCTAACGGTGTTACTTCTTCCGTTTTTTCAGAATTCTTATTAGTCAAATTAGTTAGTAAATTTCCTTTTCCCTTTCCAGGTTGTAATCTATCAATAGTTCTTTGTATTTCCCTCCGCTTAAGAACTTTTGGCTCTCGGGATGACGGCCTCTTCCGCGATGTTTCCTTTCGGACTAGACTTGATTTTTCTCCTTGCGAAAACTCATCATCTAAGCGACTATTGTCATGTTCTTCTGTCGATATTGTTTGCGCAGGACTATCACATGGCGAACTGACTACTGAGCTTTTAGGAGCGTCATCAAGCCATTTACTAATATCCTTCACAGCTTGTTCTAAAGCCTCTGATGCAGATTCATTTTTAGCAGTATTCTTTTTGTGACCTTTTTTAATTAATGTTTTTCCTTTTTGATTTTGTGCTTCCGATAAATCTTCATCTGTGAATTCCTCTTCATTTTTCTCCTCAGGATCTTTAAGGGAAGGCTCTTTGATAGAATCGGATGTTTTATCTGAACTACTATGCCCAGTTGTAAACAAGCTATTAAAAAGTGTACTTTTCAGATCTTTGTACTTTTCATTCTTCGCCTTTAATTTTTCAATTGTTTCCCTCAGTTTTTGATTTTTCTCTTTTTCCGGTATATGAAGATTTTGTTTATCCATTGCTTTCTGTTTATAATCAAATAAAGAATCCCAAGCATCTTTTGCTGCATGACGTCGTCTTTCTTTTATTTTATCATATTTATCTTTGAAAAAGTCAGAGTCGTTGAGTTGGTCTGATTGATCAGCTTGATCTGCCTGATCTGCTTGATTAAGTTCAGTAGGTGATGGAGATGGTGTATGTATAGAAGGCAAAGGGCTAGCACTTCTACTCCTGTTAGAACTTTCCAAAGACTCTACTGACATTGCTCTTTTCATTTCTTCTACAGGCTCAGCTTCATGGTGTTTGCTTTTCTTTTTTTTCTGTTTAGACTTTTTCCCATCTTTATCTTTATTTTTTGTATGTTTTTTACTATGCCTACCTTTAGTAGGTTCACCATGCTCAGACCTGTAGGAATCTTTCTTATGGTTCTTGGAATGTTTGCCATGACGATGATGACCTTTTCGTTTCTTTTTGCCTCTACCATCTTTATTTTTGTGAGATTCCTTTGTTTTTTTGTGTTCGATTTCTGGAGATTGTTCATTTTCTTCTTGTATTGCTGTAGACGAATTAGTAGATTTTATTTCACCTGAGAAAAGGGAAAATCGCATGTTTATTCAGTTGATATATTCATACAAATAAATTTCAAATTTATATTAACGTTGAACAAATATCCATTAAAATTGCCATTAGTTTACAGCTACATTACCGATACAAATTTGACATTAATTAGAGCTCAAAGGCGCCATTAAACCTTAATTGACATTTGTGCAACTGACAGATACAGTTTTAAACATTTCTGTGGTAAATTATGATTGAGTTTTACCAGTATCTTCAGAATGAGATTTCCGTTTCTTTTTTTTATGGCGACTTGGAGATTCACTAGTTTTTAATTTATGTTTTCGTGAAGGTGTCGGTAGCTGATATTCAACAGCAATTTCTTCATCTGATGATGATAACCTATGTATATATTTTTCAGTAAGTCGATCAAAAGCAGCTTGTAAGTTATCTACCATTATTGTATATTCTGAAAATAAAAAGGAATTATCTAGATGTGTTTGTGTTTTTTATTGTAATGAATAAAAGTGATAAGTAAACATAATTTAGAATTCACCATTATCTTGGCCATTGTACAGTCTACAATTGTTCACGATAAGTTTGAAATCAGCTTTGAACATTGAAAAGTCTGTGTAGTAGCCACTGTCAAGTCGTTGCTCCATTTTACGTAAGTCCATAGGACGTCTTATCACTGCATAATAATTGGGTGCGTATTCTTCTTCTACAGGATCCATGAAGGGCCAAGCATCTTCATGAGCAGTGAGTTGTTCCAAAACTTTGTACATATCAGTTTGTATATCTTCTTCAGTTTGGCTGAAACTAAAAATAATAACATTCAAGTATAATTGCAAATATTCGAAGAGACTAAATGAGAATTAAGAGTGGCATACATCTGTGATGTTTTCAACTTTTTTCTAGTGCTATTAACTGGTTCATCATTGTCAGGTATCACTATTTGTCCAGTAGCTGAAGCAAGCGAATTATTTGTTTTTCTTCCGGTTTTTACGGGGGGCTCTGGGGGCGGTTCGCCTTTTTGTGTGGCAGAGGAGTTTTTTGACCGCTTGTCCTGTCCTTTAGACTGTTTTGTCGCTTTTTGTGGCATCTCTTCTCTTTCACTTGCGGAGTTTTCAGATGAATCAGACGTTACAGATTTCGACCTGCAATTGAAGATTTTTATAAAATATACATTATACTCCACGACTTTAAGTGGTATTTTCACATAATTTTGTACCAACTTAATGTAACTTAGCATGAATAATTATAAACATTATATCCTTTCCTTCTGGAAAATAGTAAAAAATGCGGAAAAATCAAAATACTCAAAACGAAAATGTCCACCTATAGTGATGTCGTTGTTACATAAGATGTACATCGATACAATAGCATTAATGTATTATGTTGCAAAATAAACAAGATACATAGACATCACAACAAGCGCGGCAAAAATTCTGTCTTAGTAGCGTGTTCTTAGATAGGTAACGTTAAAACGAAACAAATAGGGTGGTTGTGCGACGCCATTATTTTTAATGATATTTTTTCTTTCAAATACAACAAATCAGATATTAAATTAAAAGGGTCCAACATTCCAAAATGGCATTTCATGATGATCGTCACTGTAATACTATTTAAAATAATACAATCAGAAAGTTTAAAAATAAGGACAAATTACCTATGGTAATTTGTCTAAAAAATTATAATGATTCACACCAGCACATCAAAATATTACTATAAAAGTGACTGCAAATAATTCGCGTACTCATGCAAATAATAATAGTTTTTGTTTCATCGAATATGGGCCAAGATTACCGAAGTTACATAGTTGTAAATGTACATAGACGTCACATCGCGACTCGACAGTCAGACTCAACTGCCGGCGATGTGTTTGTTTAAATGGATAAAATTTGATTTGTAAAGTGTTTAACATTTAATATTTTAGGTGCTTGTTATTGTGTCTGTGTTATAAATAAATTTTGATATTATTCTTACTGAATTAACATGGTGATGGAAAAGGGTTTTGCAAAAGGACAGTTGGATAACCTACCAAAAATAGTTATTTTTATAGTTGCGCGATATTTGTCTGAGAATGGTAATTATGTAGCAGCTGAAAACGAAGAATAAAACTGAATAAATAAGTAATATCTAATTACTCATTTACGTTATTAGGTATTTCAATCAAGTTGTGCTAAAAGATGACTGTTTGTTTTTTGCCGAGTTTAAAAAGGGGGGCATGGGATACAAACATTTTCCAAGCTATTATATTTGTTCAATATAAACTTACAAAAATATTAAATGAGAATAATGGCAGCTACGATTATTTCATGTACAAGCACGGGCGACAAACATTTTCTCTATTACATTTTAAATATTGATTTTTTCAACGAATGAGTTATAGACAATAATTTCATTTCATCCTTTACGGCAAACAAACTGATTGTTTTTTTTTTATTATTTTTATAAAACTATATCATTTTCAATTTGTAATATAAAAACGTGTATATTAAATAATGCTATTATAATTATCATCGTGATTTTGTAAAAATCACCTTTGGCCTCCACTAAGATATTCTATATCGATCGATATGGCCATGGCCATATACACAAAAAATACCCAGACCCAGAAAAACAAAGTTGAACTCGTCTGCTTTTTAATGCCGTTTTTAATTATTTTTCAATCGCTCGTCTGTAAAGAGGCCAACATGAATCGAAAATAGAAAATAGTTTTGCCATATACATATGTATGTAAACAAAAAAGAGCGTGAATGTAAAGAAATTGGCAATAAACGTCATTTATTCATTTCACGTTTTGACGTTTATTTTATCACTCCATACAGTGTTCGCTAAACAACGAATGGTTTATACCACTCCTTGCAGGTGAGCAAATCAGAAATGGTGAATTTGTTATGTCGAACAGTAGAAGCGTTCAATGCGAAACGTATGATTCAAAATTAGAGCTCCTGACCTTACAATCAGTGTTATTATAGATACAAGAGTGTTTTTGGTTCTCAATGTTAATAAAATAAAATAAAAAAACACTTTTTCTTTACGCCTGACTATAGTCAGGTTGATGGCTATCAACATACATGAATCTTGTATGGCTAGTACTTATAATTATCAGTTCAAACTATTCTGATTAGATTTAATTAAAATTGATCCGTTTTTTAAAACCAAAAGTCATCGCCAACGCCAACTCAACCGCCCCGTCCTCCGCCGCACGTGAGGTCATTAACCCGTAACAGCTCATTCAACTAACAAGTATAGTTTTAAATTAAATGTCTATTGCTTAAAAGAAACACTTTCAGATGTAAACATAATTAATACGATACCTACGTCGAAATGATCTTCACAATAATGCACGTAACTAGCAGTTGTAAGAGAATCTGCTCTTTTCACAACTTACAATCATTTTTTTCGGATATTTCTATCATGTGGTAGGTACATAAAAAGTTTGTATACGTAAGGATAATACAAAATTACCTAACCATTTTGTTCATTCACAATAAAAAAAAAAAATTAATAGCGACACTGGGAGAACGCAGCGAGCCAAAGTATGTAGGTATTCGCAAGTACCGACTGGCAGTGTCGCGAAGTGACGTCACGAGCGAGTGCGGTCGTTTCCCCGGATTTTGCCGCGGAAGGCGAAATTCAAAGTTTAATATCTCGATCATTAGTGAAGCTAGGAAAGAGAAACAAATTTGGTTTATTATTCAATTTTATGGCTCTGACTGCATGTTATGTATGACGATGCAAAATTTTAGTATCTTGTTCCAACCTTTTCAGTTAGTTGTTTTTCACACATGCGGTTCTTTTTTATTATTATGTTTTATCTTTTATTTTGTTACTAAATTTTAGTTTTTAAATATTTTTATAGTTGTATAATAATATAAATTATACATTTTTTTTTAAATGTGCATACTCCCTATTCTATTCACCTCAATAATCAAGATTTGCTGATTCAGGGCAATCAATAAAATTTTACGCGTGATGAATATTGTTCGAATGTAGCAATGAATAAAGACAATAGTAACCAATGTTGATGTTTGACAATCCATTGATTACATTATATTAAATTTACTACCTCAGTAAGTTCCGTCGCTTAGCACGATTTTCACGTGCAATGTCTGGCGTTTCCTTTCTTTCTTCTTCTTCTTCCTCTTTAATATCATGCGTGCTTTGCTTTACGTCTTCCTTTTCTTTGATTTTTTGTAAAACACGACTAGATGTTCGCCGTGGTGCCAATTCTAGCAACCTTAAATGTTTAAAATTAGTTTTTTTTAGTTATTTGTATATGTAATCAAATACTTTTACTGTTTTAAATCATATAATTATTTATTTATGTACACGGAAGACCATAAGTAAAACTTATAAAATAATAAATCTTAGCAAAATACAAATAGCAAAGTCTTCACAGATAGAAATATATATAAAAGCTGAGCATTACACTTTGTAATATCTCTATATTTTTATTATTATTTTATTGTAAGACATTCCTGCCACCCACCACCTTTACATGAAAATAAATAATCAGAATTTAAGAAATGCGAAAGTATTTTTTTCACATTTTGTCCATCAGAAAATAATATATTACACCTATTATGCCTAAATAAAAAAAAGCAATTTAGTCCCTTACGATAAGTTGCACAAAAGTCCATTAAAGGTTTATTGACGCCTTTAAGCTATAATTAATGTCATTTTGTATGAGTAATGTCGCTTTAAATTAATGACAATATTAATGAACTTTTGTGCAACTGACCGTAAGAAAAATAACAGACATTCTATAGATAGAGCTAAATAGATTTTAAATTATCTGTAAAATACGTGTGTGATCTCTGTTCTGGGATGTTGGTCTATAAGTAAACTACGATTATACCACTTTCGATTATCTTTAGTTAGATTTTCCTGTTAGTTAGGGTTTCTCCATAGATAGACAGATAATAAAATATGTTGTAACTTTAAAACCAATATTAAGTCGACAGATTAATACAAAAAGGTATTATACATTATACGGAATTCGCGTAGCACAACAGGATTGTAATCCTAATAGTAGAATAACATGAAATTGGCAGAATTGAGGTCGAGGCAATACTAAATGACAAAATAGTAATTAAGATAAAAAATAAATATTAAAATATAAGAACCTTCTAATGTATATGAACTCCATTGCTGTTGAAGTTTCTTCAGCGAATTATTACAAGAATGTATTCAGTGATACCATTAAGATTAAAGAATATGTAATTTCGCTTCTCATCAATATATCTGAGTACTGTTTTTTTTGTTTTTAGAGTATAAAGTTGCCTTCAAATGATAATATCAAGTATTAGGCTAAAACCATTGTACGTAAGTTTTTTCGTATCCGTGCCGTAATGCAGTGATGCATAGTTTACACGGCGTAAAAGAAACATGTACAAGCTTCAAATTATGATAATAATCTTATTAAAATTATTATAACGAGACAGATTATAAACTGACAATGTTTACAATTTAGGGTGACATAACCTATGAATCTAAATTCGCATTTCGCAATCACACACACCACATTCAGTAAATTCAACCACATTGGGAAATAGATTTAAGCGTATGCTCACAGCAAATATAATCAGCCGCCGCCGACTATACAGTATTGTCATTACGCTCGACGTATTGTCAGTTTAGTGTAATCGAAAAAAATTGTGAAAGACGAAGACGATAATAAGGTGTATAATGAAAAGTCCTAGGTATCGCTTGCTCACGGTCGATGGCTGAAGCGGGGAATTCACTAGACAGGCATATCTGACTAGTGTAGGACCATCACAATCATTACAAAGAGTTAAGAGATCTGGCATGCTGCAGACTCGACCGCGGGGAATCCCCGTCTAGTGAATCCCCCGCTTGACACTTAAGTAAGAATGGAGTCTAAAAATGAATTGTAAAAGGTTCGGAATAAATAAGAAATTTTATATTTTAATACACTTTTAAACTATTTTGTTCAGTCAGTAGTAAATAAGGCATCAACCATTACAATTTAAAATTATTTTGAAATCTTTTCCTAGCATGTAAGAAAAAATACCAAAAGTAAAAGAACCCTTCCCTTTCATTAAGTAATCATAATGTAAGAATCTAAAGAAAAACATGTATGTCGTTTTTGTTCATTTTCTGTGACTAACAAATCTATAGACTTTATGCATAAGTAAAATACTCATGAGTAAAGACCTTCAGAATTTTTCTTTATTCTATCTCTTATTTCTTTGTAATCGAAATGAAAAGTAGAATGTAACACACTGCGCTAAATTAATATGCGCTAAACAGTTATAATTCGGTTTCTATGTACTCCCTTCCCAACATTACACTTTGGTAAAAGAGTTGGGCAAAATCTTGTTTATAATTACCCTCATTTTGGATTGAATTATACATATTA